AATAAACTAACAGATATGTAGACAACATTATCAGCTATTATGATGTAGTGTTTTTTTCATTGTCATGGAGTTGTTAATGTTTGAGTAAATCCTCTCGTATTTCATGTTCTCTGAAGGACGGCAACATTCAGAAGAAGCTGGACTTTGAGATGAGAATGCGTGAAGGGGCCTATAAGCTTCTGCTCGCCTGCACTAAAAGGGAGCAGATTCTGAGCGCCTCAAAGAACCTGCACACCTCCAACACCAGAGTGAAGGCCTACCTGAGTGAGGTGCACAGACACGATGCTATGGACATAATGGCCAGGTATACAAGCAACTCTGATCATTTGTTATTATGAGAGTAGGAGAGAAGGAAACTGTTGTAACTCAGTCATGTTTCAGACTTACAGATGCACAAGCAGATGAGCGGAAGCCTTGCCATGGCACAGTTGCACTATCTGGTATGTGTTTTTTTTAATGAATATATTTAAGTTCAATTTATTTCTGTAGAGCCAAAAATCACAACAGCAGTTCAGTTGCCTCACAGAGAAAAACTATTGTTTATATATTTTTATATATATATATATATATATATATATATATATATATATATATATATATATATATATATTATATATATATATATATATATATATATATATATATAATTTTTTTTTTTTTTTTTTCAGGGCTTCGAATTCCTTTGCTGTGGCGAGATTCTGATCACTTTAACAACAGAGGAAGTGTGTATTAATTATCTTATAATAGTATTTGCTTAGTATCCCTCTTCATGTCTGAACTCACCACAATGACACCACTCCTGTCAGGTTCTCGACGAGCGGCACTCTTTTGCCTCATGCAGATTGGTTCTGAGGTGTTTGACACAGAAATGATGGTGGTGGACAGATCAATCACTGACGTATGTTTTGAGGGAGTCACTATATTGTAAGTGACCCAGTAGGGAAATACACAAAAACGCAAGTCACAAGACAGCTAAAAAAATTCTTTACTCTGTCTAAAGCAAAGAGGCACTCCCCGACTTTGAACTGAAGGTGGAGCTGTGGAGCTGTGCACTGGAGGAAGAGCTCACTTTAGTGAATACTCCAAAGAAACTGGCCAAGAAGTTCCGCAGCTCCTTTGGAAAATCGACTGGGAAGAAGCTCTGTCCTCTGCTGGACACTCCTGACCCCGAGGCCTTTCTGCAGTACAACCCTGTGCCTTCGTAAGTGAATACACATTTGTATCAATAATGAACAACCTGTAACTGGCATCACTTATGATCAAAACATTTTTTACTATCCAAAATCTTAAATCATCAAAACCCATTTAAATGTAATTAAATCATATTTATTCATAAACTCCGTTGAATACTAAAAGTAATGAAAATATATTTTCTCGTTTAACTATACAGTTAATGGTATTAACATGTAATGTGTTCATTATTGTTCATTTTGTATTTATTTATGAAGCTGCTTCTCCACTCACCACTGTCTCTGGCTTTGTCATTAGTGGATCTAAATACAACCTTTTGGCGTACACCACTCTGCATCTTACTCAGGCTGAAGGAAGTTTCCAGTCTCATTCACTCATTGTTGTACAAAATGGTAAGACTACAATTACAACTATGATTATGTAAGACTACGATTACAATCACACTTTCAAAGCAACAGTTGGGTGATCCTAAATAAAAATATTATAATTGTGTCCTCACAGCTGAATGGTCGTCCTGGCTCCCTCTCTATGGAAACCTCTGCTGCCGCCTGGTGGCTCAGCCTGTGTGCATGACACAGAGCATGATGACTGGATACCTTTGTCAAAAGGTTGCTCATATTATACCAGTGCTTTTCTTTTAGAAATGACAAAATTGACTTAAATCTCAGGGTTGTTTTTCTTTTTCCAGTTAAATGTTGAGGGCATGAACCGATCTCGTCACCTTTACTGTGAACTGTGCGCTGGCTTATTGTCTTGTTACTTCTCTCCTGAGGAGATTCAAGCCAAAGTGGACCCTGCTCTAAAACTACCTATCAATCAGGTGAATGTCAAATGTAAACAAACACAGCGTTAATGTTGTATTTAGTTTAGTATTTAGTAAGTTGAATTGTTTTTGTGTTGTCCAGGAAACTCGTATTCGTGTAATGGAAACAGGTTCAGTGGGCCAGAGGCTCAGGACTCTGTCCATCCACAGTACCACAGCAAACAGCAGTGACACTGTGAACTTCAGCACAGAGTCCAGAGAGGAGCTGGAGGAGTGGGCCGACGCCCTGCACCAGCATCTGTATGACCAGAGTGAGTCTGTGGAAGCAGGGCACATTTACAGTGGAGCACAACAAGCAGCATGTGTTTTTGTTTCAAACCAGGTCAATGGCTGCATTGTTGTGACCGCTTAATGAAGATCGAGGTCCTGTCACCACGGAAACCATCACTCTTCCTCACCAAAGAGGCTGATTCAGTTTATAATGACCTGAGTGAGTACAGACTTGTGTTGTTTTCGTCTGTTCAGCTAAATGCAACATAACCATGATCTGTTTGTTTGACAGGTATCAATTCACCGGGCAAATTTGAGAGCATCACAGACATCATTCATGATAAGATTGAGCAGACAGATGGACGTTTTCTGATCGGTCACGAGGAGAGAAGGGAAGTACCCAACTGGTCTTCTCTATTTGATGGCTCCCAGTCAGTGCTAGTACAGAAAAGTGTATTTTCTCAGAGCAAAACATCCACTCCTTTCTCAAGTCCACTCCAGAATAAGACCACTACCCCTGGTAGCGTCAAAAAGCGCCGTGCACCACCTCCTCCCACTGACCAGGAGCCGTATACCCCTCCCAGTCGACCTGCCAGACCCCCACTCCCTGCTCATCTCCCCTTTCCTCTCCATGAAAAAGAAAATGCCAATGTCTCTCGGCCCGCTCCGCGCTCCAAAACCGGCCGGCCTTCTCTGGACGCCAAATTCTCCTCGATTATCCAACAGCTCCAGCGAAATAACGCTAGCGGAGCACCAGCACTCACCCGGAAGAACGCTCCTCTCGGGGTGCTCGATATCCCGCTGCCGAACCAGGAGAATGAAAAGCCACCAAACGCTGAGGCCAGTGAACCCTGCTTTGTCCGGCCTGCGCACAGCACTGCGCCTGTCCCTGCTCCGAGGAGTAAATTAAGAAAGTCCTTCAGAGAGAGGATTAGTCTTAAACCCCTATGATCTTTTGGTCTTAACAAGTTTTAATTACTTGCATAACCACTAATATGATAGACACGCTAACAGCTGGCCTAAGTGCAGCACTTTGGACATAATATGAATTCTTTGTTTTCTATAAAAGAATAGGTCTATTATGTAAACATATCTTCAAGGACAGCTTCAGGTAAGATTTTAAGACTCCCTAAGACTCTTCACTAGCACCCAACCATGGATGATTTTGAATGCCAGTTGCCTGTTGGCCTGAGCTCTGCCTCCATCAATCCTACTAAAATGTAGAGGCTTATTTCTCAGCTTTGCCACTGGAACAGTGACTGGATGAAAGAAACTTTGCAGAAAGCCCCGATTGGCATTGATCCATATGCTGACTGCAAACCACTGACGACTCACTACTTTATTTTGGACTATTGACTTGTTCTACTTACTGTGAAGACTTTACGGCCACTAGCACATTTTTAAAGGGGAGAGGATTTAAAGGCCAATTTGAAGCAGCAGTCATTCCCATAGTCTTTTATAATGGAGTGACTTTGGCTTCAGTTAGTACAGCGTGTGCCTGTCCTAATTGAAAACACAACAAAATGAGTGTGCGCAAATGTGCAGAGCTTGTTTAAACACCAGTGTCTGCTATACCTTTGGCCTGGGCAATAATAATATCATGGTCTGATCCTGAGGTGAGCTGCTATTTTTGTGAGGTCATCATGATTCTGTACATATGTGAAATGTGAATTATCAGAAGCAGCAGATGGCTTTAGTTACGTCTTAATGGCACATAAAAAGATATTAACTGCATGTATTGTGATAAAATCTTAACTGTAATCTTTGGCATTTTGCCCACTATACTGTTATGTATCTAGTATCAATATTTTAAACAAGCTGGGATAAACCATTGTCTCATCCTCAAAATTTAAACTGAAGGAGTCATTTGAGAGAGATTTGTGGGAAGTGGATTTAAAGCATCTTGAGAGAATGCTTTACTAAAAAGAGTATGCTGCTCATATGGTTTGCTCTTAACGGTTGTTTGGTGTTGATGCTTTTCACAAGCCACTTTGATGACAAGCTGCACACATAAAGTTGCATTGTGTTGCTTTTCTGGTGGAGGGCAAATGTTATTGCTTTCTCTGAAAATGTTTCAAAGTATGGTATTAAACCTTTGTATCTTCATAGAGACCAAACCAGACCAAGTTACAGATCAGATCTGTGGAGAGGTGACCCCACTCATAGTCAGAATGCCTGTTTTCCTGGGGATTTTTGAGCTATAAAATCATCTGTAATTAAATACTGTACATGTAAAGCAGAGCTGTCTAATGCCATACTGTGGAACATTCCAGGCAGAGCAGTGACATCTCAGAATCGAGCAGGTGACAGACCCTCCAATTTACACAATGCAACTTTAACATCTGCAAATGCACACAGTTGTACTTGAGATTAACCTGGACAGGAAATGTGTCTAGATTTTGGGTTCATGTAGATATAGTTTACTCTTCTAAAGGACTGAATTGTGAATGATGTTGACTGCATATTATAGTGTAAAATACAAATGTAAACCTTTTGTTGACTTGATTCTAATGAAAAAGCAAGTCATTTCACTTGTAGCCTTACTTGTAATGACCTTGTATAGAATATTTCTTAAAGGCTGTGTGATTTAGTGAGTTTTAATAGTTACTTTTTGTCTAATGTGCAATTTCTAATTTGTTGTTAGTCCATTTTTATTATTGCTACATATGCAATAAAACTGCAGAAATACTACCCTGGTGCGCATGCTGTTTTTTTTTTTTTTTTTTTTTTTTTTTTTGCTGAGCTCAAATGTTATCTGCATATTTTTCATAGCAAAGGTTTACCAGGGGGTGGCCATAAAGTCTAAAGCAATGGGTTTATTGCAGTCCAAGTTTCTTCCCATAGAGATCCATGCTCTGGCAAATTTCTCTATTGCAGCAAATACTGGAGAGGCTCCTCTGGCTTTGAGCCCAGAAGTAGCCTGTTGTGAAGATTAAAGCCAATGGAATCTCGTAGCCAGATAATGGTATTACAATAATAAAACTCTATTCACAGTGTATTTAGCTCCAGAGATACAATAATGTACAAGAGCAATTTACCTAACTTGGATGGTGACTATACTGGTAAAGAATGCAAGAGGAATTGTGTAGATAGTAAAATATTTTAATTAAATATACAGGAAGTCATATCATACAAAATGTCTTTATTTTTTGTCTTGCTTGCCAGCTGGATGATTGGTAAAATGTATCAAAAACACTTTTAAGGATGCACATTGATGAAAACAACATAAAAATAAAACAACTAAAGAATATCCTAGTTCTTAAATTGTAGTGTTAAAATCTAACATGTTTATGGTGACCTTGACCCAGAGCAAACAAGGACACAGCTAGATTGTGTAACCGACTTTTATATCGCTTATATACTATTTACAGATTATAACTGTTTATATGATAACAGCCACGCAGTTTATCTACACAGCTATGTACATCAAAATAAGACAAGAGAAGGATTGCCATTTGATCCCGTATGAGCGACATCTGTACAGGGGGCTTCCCCACAATCCTGTCAGTTTCACTTACACGCAGCAATGTACAGTACTTGGTAAGAAATTAATGTGTTTTTTTTTTAAGTTCAGTAAAACTATCCCACATATGCACATGTCCACGGTGTATTTCCACTAACTGCAGTTCTAGTGGTCGTAAAAGCCAGAGCAGGTGTTCCCTTCTACCTGGGGCTGAAGCGTTTAATTTATAGTACCTTTTCTTCAGCGATAAAACATATGTACTGCGTTTAAGATGAGGAGTTGGAAAAACTAACCTTTGTTAAAGCGCTAACTTTATAACTTATACATTTTTCTTACAGTTAAGCAATTAATTCAAAGCAACCTATTAAAGGAAATATTTAAATAATATGTAATAAAGTCTGGTGCCTATAGTGTGTTGAGGGCTCTGCATTATCTTCAAAGTGACAATAATAATTATAGGCCAATCCTGCTACAGAATAAAACCAATTAATCTGTAATGCTAATTCTAATCCAAGACTGCAAAAGGCACAGATACTGTATTTGCAAAGCAATGATATCCTAAATGACAACATTCCTATAAAGTCACATAAAGAGTCTGTTTTCAACAGAAAGAGCTTTTCAAGTTTAGGAATAAAAAGATGAAATGCTGATGTTTTAAGAGCACTCAACAGCCAATGGCTGCGTCATCACGCTGGTCCTATGGACTAAACACTGCTACAATCTACAATCACATAAGGGCCTTTTGTGTGGATCTAAAATCAAAATGTTTTTCTTTTTTCTTTTCGGACAGCAAAACATTATAGAATTATTGACAAGTACTTGTGTTCTATGTATTTAAAATACATAACTAATATTAAACCTGCAGTGAGTCATAGAGTGTACAGTACGTCTGCCAACACAGCACCTCAGAAAGCAACAATGAGACGAGGTCATGAGATGCAGCAGCGTACAGCGCTCTGCAGTGTGGACAGTCAAAGGGAAATGTAAACATGCACAACACCACTGGCTTCAGTGTAATAATGCACTCATTATGGTGGTGATCGTGAACGCAGCTTTGTTAGATCAAACACTTCATATACATCACTTTAGTGTTTCCAAGCAACAAAGTTTAGCCCTCAGATGCAGTAAACAATGGCTTTACTCTGTTGCTTTTCACTTTTTTAAAACATTGTCCAAGCAACAGACCTGACTCACAATGACTGAGAGCGGAAATGTGGGCACATAAACATACAAGAGCATTGTGCAAATAAGAATACAACACAAAGATACAGTAAGTGGTGATAAAAACAGAGCAGTGCAAAGTATAGAACTAATTGCAAAATACACAGGACTTTTCAGTCTGCCTGACCAATGGGTTCATGGGCTGGTAATGTCAGTGTTTGAGCATGATGTGATTCACAGTCTGGTGCTGGGGTGTACTGAGGACAGCTGAGGGGGTGGGAGGGTGGACAGGGGGTAGAGGTGGTGCAGCAGGTCCCCGTAGAGGGCGGCTCCGCCCGGGTGCCTGTAGAAGGCATGTGCGCTGGGGCTGGCTGCCAGCAGCTGCCTGTGTAACATCATGGAGTGAAAGGCTAAAGGCGGGACCAGGGGTGACACTGCTGATTGGCTCTTGAGGTATTGTAGGCCCGGGTGCTGCTGGAGGCTGTCCTGTGCAGTAGCAGACACCAGGCTGCCGGGGGCATACAGGCCCGAGTACAGTGCGGCGTGAGGGTGGGGGTATGTGGTAGTGGGGTGCCCTTCTGGGATGTGATTGTTGAGGTGAACTGCATGCGCTGGCTCAGCCGCTTTGAGCTCCTCCGGGTCACTGCGGCGCGAAGCAGCAGTGGGGTGGATGGGGGTCACCACCCGCACCTTCCTCTGGGGGGCGTCCTCACTCTCAGCTTCTGCTACACTCCTCTTACTGGGTCTGTTGGGACTAGATTCAGATGAGGTCTTGGGACTGGGGAATGACTGCTGTGTATCTGAAGTCTGTTTAGAGGGAGAGACAGTCATGGGAGTCACTTTACACGCCTTAGGGTGCGACTCCAAACTCTGGTGCATGATGGGATACGACAAACTGCAGAACGAGGATTTGGAGACTGAAGACAGCCTCTGTTTGGATATGCTGAAGTCTCTGGGCTCATCTTCAGCCTCTCTGCTGTCCTGATTTCTGTCACTGTAGTGACTTCTATAAGCCAGTCCTTCAGGTTCAATGCAGACAAAGCCCTGAGTGCCCTCGCGCTCCCGCCCGTACTGCTCCCTCCTGCCCTCTCCATTGGTGAAACCTGACACCCGGTCCTGGCTCAGGCAGGTCTCTGTTTGTCGGTACAGACTGTTGAGGTGAGGTGATGAGTAACAGTCGCGTGTGTAACTTCTGGACTGACCCACTGCACTCTGCTGCACTAACTTGTCCTGGTCACTTGCGTCCGGGGGCAGATACGGTTGCCACGGCGCACTGACTTGGGGCTGAATGTGACGTGCACTACGGCTAAGGACCTCAGAGAGCTCTCCTCTGTCGGCCTGACTACTGCTGGTGTGCTGTGTCTTAGTGCTCTGAGCGTGCTGAATGACAGAGGGCCTGAATATGGGCACCTCAGACAGACTGTCTGAGCTCTGCCTCTGTCCAGAGTCCTCTTTTCTCTTTTCTGTGTCCCTGTCTGAGAGGGAGAGCGATGAGTAGGCGGATGGGAGTGGGGCTAATGAAGGCTGAAGAGAAAAGGCAAATGTGTTTGACTCACACACCTGGGACAGGAGCTTCTTTTTCGCCAGTGGAGACATAACCCCCTGACTGGCTTTGTAAGCTGCAGACTCCTTCTTTATGACAGTATAGTCGTCCTCTGAGCTGCTGTCTGCAGACTGCCGCTCTAGCTGCTTACACATTGGCAGCACTTTGCCCACTCTCCCCCCATGACTCTCTACAGTGTCCTTTACTCTTGAAGTGGTCTCAGGAAGGGCGATGTGTGCCACTGGTTTGTGGTGGTCCCAGCGGTGAGGCAGGTAGGGGTTTTTGTGGATAAAATGCCCTTCAGTGGGCTGTTCACAGGTGAGTTTGACTTGCAGGGCGTCACTGATTTGTCTCCACTCAGGCGGAGGACAGGGCACTGTGAGGAGACCTCGCCCTGATACATGGCTCCTATAGTCAGGCTCTTTGGGGCACAACAGTGACCCCTGCTCAGCTGACAGGGTCTCCTCCTTCAGCGTGAGGTGCAGTTCCTCCTCTTCTATTACAATGGGTTCATCTGGATTTACCAAAGACCTACTGTGTATCTCCTCCTTAGTGCTTACATCCTGCAGACAAAACATACCAATCAGTATCATGATGCTAAAATGGTCTTAGTATTAAAGCATTCAATTAGTGTAAATATTTATAGTGTAACATGACCTGTCGGCTTTAAAAAGAAAAACCTGTGCCACTGACCTGTGATTGCTCCTGGCCTAGAGTGGCGTCTCCTCTCTCCTTTTTACTGGCCTGTTTGAGATTGTTGGGGTTTTTGGGTTTCTTGGTCCCCAGTCCTTTGAGTTTGGCTCCTGGTGCCTTCTCTGGGCCGCCCTCCTGCTTCCTGGGTTTAGTCAGGGGGAGGGGCTTGTCCTGCTCGCCTTTAATGTGCCTCTCATATGGAAGGAGGAGTCTGCATCATAGAACACATTCAAAAATGAGTGTGTGCAAATCATACGGTTATGCCATTACACAACCAAAGAAGTATTTTCAACTACTACTAATGCATAGTTTATACAAAGACAGTTCATATTTCCACCTTTTAGGAGTTTACAGCACTGCCTGTTTGACTCAGTTAAAGAACAAAATGTACACAAGTGTTCGGCAAACTGAGGAGGGAAATGATGCAGTCATGGCCACAGGCACACACTGTATCAAATGCTGTATTTTAAACACCTGGCAAACATTAACAAACCTATTGTAATTAAAGTGTGCAAGGGAAAGTCCACACTGGGGCCTCAGTTTGTGTGTATGGGAATAAAAGCACAGAGGAGACAGAGGGTTCATGTGAAAACACACTTATCTCCTGCTGGAAACATCACATTTTTGTTGGAGAATAACCTTGAAAGAAAGAGCGTGATTTTGTCCGTTGGCTATAACCTAAATGCCAGAAAAAGCAACCAATAAAATGGATTTGATCTGCAATAAAACTAAATATATGCATGTGTATTCGATTATACCCACAGTAATATGCACTGATTTTGTCCAGAAGGAATAATAGTTAGTTTTAATTAAATCCACTATAAAAGACAAGGAACACTGTGTAAAAAGTAACACTAAAGTCTTTCTGACTCATGTTACTTCCTCTAAACTGGTCCCAAGTCAGTCTGTGTATCTGATGTCATAACTAATGGGAACACTTGGATCTGGCTAATGTAACAATACCCATGTGTAAAATAATGACATGAAGAAAGCAGCGGGGGAAAGTTTGAGACTTTTATTACACAGAAAACTAAATGGAAATTGGCACCAGAGCAGACTCCAGACACCGAATACAAGTGAGAAACTTCAATAAGCCCCTCTGAACATGTCTGTCACTTTTGTACATTGCACGGGTCAGACAGAGACACAACTCCCTCAGTCTGAAGACAAAATAAGACTTTCTCATGTAATGACAAGAGACCGCTGCACCACTCCTTTTAAGGGACACAGCGCTTAAACAAACAATGAATCAAGCCTGGTTGGTTTCTCCCCCTCTTCAAACGGACAGGGGAAAACCTCAGAGAGTTCACGGGGCTCAGTGGGATTTTTGTTATTTTTGCTCTGAACAAAAGTGCTGCCAGGGAGAGAGCAGTGAAACTACATTTTATACAGCTGCTCTGGCACAGGGCCCCAGGCCAAGAAAGGAAATGTACTATTAAATGTAACTTATTGGAAAGAAGACGAGTAAACGGGTTATGAAAGACAGGAATGCAGAAAAATTGAGCTGTGAGTGTTAATAAGAAATAGAGTTCTCAGGGAGGAGTCGAGCATTGCTGACAGCAGCTATGGATTTCAGTTAATTACCTAGAACTCATACAGATGCTTTACACTTGTAATGAGCTTATATTTAACAGCCAAAGAAACCAATGCACATTTACAACATATCAAAACTGAAAACAATCTAGTATTTCTTATGAACTACTATTTGCGTATGCACAATCTGTGCTTTCATAACCAGGATGGCACACAAAATTAACATCATGTGATCTGTGGGAAAGAGATGGCTGCCCTGGTCTGGGTCAACTTATGGAATGTCAATATGGGACAGAGGAGGGAGGGGCATGTCTGTAATCTAAGAGCAAAGCCGGGGAATTACTGATGCCTCTGACAGATGAGAAAATGAGAATATTAGCCGAGAACAGAAGAACACGAAACTTAAAACAGTGATATTCTGACACAACTCCTAATGCATTTTATATCTGAAGATAATACAGTCATTTTGCCATTCTTCATTCAAATTATAAAGTGTGTGATTACAATAGAGCATTTAGAGCCATTTCTAGTGAGGCATATATAACTCTGACAGCATCATGTAATATTAGAAATCATAATACAAGAGCACTTATATAAGTAGTAATTTCCTGTGAGGAAGGGGCAGGGCTGAGCTTGGCAGCTGCAGAATGAACAGACAGAAAGCCAAGTGCAGTGACGCATTGGCTCCACGTGGGGGCGTGTTTTACCCTGAGATTCCAGGAAAGAATTTCATTAAGACCAGTAACTGTTTATGAGGTCAGTAAATACTTAACTTCCTCTCGTGCCAATTTATCACCCGGGTTTGTTTGAACAGACGGTTTTAATTTTATTATGATAGTAAATGCATAACAACATTATTTAAAATACATCTGCAGTCTATTTTAAACAGAATAGACAATGATGACATGTATGATGTCTAACATAATTCCTCGAGAATGTGTCATGTTCTATAAAAGGCATTACTTTAAAGTGTCTGCAAAGAAAAGCAGGGCGTAAGACGTGGCACACACAAGACTTTCCCTGAAAAGGACAACATGACAAAACCCAAGTGTCTTTAGCACCAGTGCGCGCCTCATCACAGTTTTGTGTTACAGGAACAGGCGCAGTGTTCAACTCCAAGAAAAGTCTAAGTCACCAAATCAGTGGAAAAGGCTTCAGGCTATTCACTCCCATCACTGCTCAGATTAATTTAAGATGGTGTTGTGTTAAGATCACAAGAGCCATCCATGTGTAAAAGAGAGTGAAGAGTGCTGCTGGACAAGCCCCTGGGGTGCTCACAGATTTGGATGAGAGAAAATGAGGTAGCATTTACAAGGCTTTAAGAGGAAAATGACACAAAATCGACTGACACATCTATGTGTTAAAGATTAAAAAGACCAGATAGACATAAACATACACTGCGGTCTGGCGGTGCTTTGGATTCATGGCTCAAAGCATCTTTTGTCTCAAAGCCAAACCACTTGAGGTGACCCTCATTCATGCAGTTAAAGCGAGAGGGCAGAGCAGGAATGTATGAAAACTTAAGTCCTTTGTCAAGTCTGAAAATACCAGATTTAAAATGACCTCTACAGTTCCCTGGAGGTTTGCTCTCATTAGCTACTCCTGAGGCAGCTCGATCCAAGCATTCAGAATAGCAGGTGTGAGCCACCAGAACCAGTGTTAAGTGTGGAACGTAAATGTAGACCGGTGTGTGTAAAGAACACACTTTAGTCAGGTCATTCTCTAGAATCACAGAGAGGGAACAACAGCATTTGTTCCCAGTGCCATTCATTTTAATGGCTAGACTGAACTAGTTATTAATCTGCATAGAATTGAATAGATTCTCATTTAGTCGATGCCACATGTCACTGCTGTAATTTGTGAGTCCTCAGTGTCTCTGGGGAAACAAGAAACAACTCTACACATAAAGAAACCTTTAGATGATATGATTTGTGTTATTTTTATTGCTTTTATTTTGTCCCAGGAATAAAACTGCTTTGTTAGTATAAAGAACACACAGGTCCATTTTAGCTGACATGCAGTTTCCCTTCAGAGAGTCACACAGTTAACTATTTGACCATGCTTCGGATGCGACATGTTGAGACATTGTTTATAGTGATAAGAATGCTGACAGACAAAATGATGTTCTCAAATTGCATACTGTCTGTATATTATGTTTTGAAATCAAATGCATTTACTTGTACATTACACTCTGTCACTGTCTCTGCTGCTGCATCTCTATGGGAATAAAAAGCTATAACCGCCGCCCTCCCATTGTAATCCAATGATACCATCGGCTTTAGAACAAGAGAGCAGAATAATTGAAACCAGTGTTTGAGCTACACTGTGGAGCAGATATGCTAAAATGCAATGCACCATATTTGATGTATCTGCAGTACAGCAAGGACAAAGCACAGAGATGCTGACTCGTGCAAATGGAGAGCATCTCACACAGTTCAATTAAAACTCTGTGTCTTCTGTTCTGTCCTTTTCTACTTCTACTTCATTTTACAATGAACACTGGCTCAAGGCTGCCTAATAATTATGTATTTTCATGTCTGGAGAGCAGCTCGAGTGAATATAGTGGAACATTGATGCTACAAGGAATGAATAAAGGCTGAATCAATAAAACATCTACTCAACTCAAATTGGAGCGGGCACACAGCCGCCTTTTAAAGCACCACATATCACTAGCATCAGGGCTGAATATTTCACATGTGACTACAGGACGCTATGTACACTGTGTTCAGCCAATATCTGCAAACTAAATGATTTAATTCCAGCCTTCTTCTGTACTCTGAGCTATTGGCCCCAAACCTCGGAGTTTTTAAATACCAAATTATTCTAAATTGCTTTCTCTGTTGCCATGGAGACCCCCCTCCCGCTCCAATATCAACCCTGTTGTGCAATTACATTAGGCTGCCAAAGCATAGGGAGGTATTAAGGATCTGTAACAGGCAGAAATGAACAGAGATAGTGAAATGTGATGTTTCTGTAACAAGAGATCACGTTGGAAACCAGGAAGATTAAATATGTAGGAGCTGTTAAAAGGCGCTGACCTGTATAATGAAAGAAGCAGCATGAAGTGGAGGGAGTGAGGGGCGAGGGAGGGGGGTGAGGGAGGGGGAGCACACAGAAAATGGCACAGAAGCAAAAGGCAGTCTATTTCAAGGTTATTGATGCCATCTTTTTCATGACCTCATTTTTAATTCAGAGCGCCGTGCCCTGACAGCTAATCTCAGGAAACGGTTTAAATAAATATCATTAAAGCTTGCCTATAGCTGTGGCGGCGCCAGACCTTGGGTTGGACATTTATATATTGATTTTTCAATGTACTGATAAATGCAGCAAAAATAGCAACTTTGAAAATGACAATTAGTGGAGGTTATCTTCCGTTTAATTCTAGCTGTGTTAGTCCATTACTATCAGTGATTACTGCCTGTTACTGGACAGCATAAATATAGTGATTATGCCCGAGGCTCCATCTTTCACAATAACATCACCAAGGAAACCAGTTCATATGATTTTACCATTAGAGCAGTAAGAGGATAATGTATATCATTTACAAGAGAAGACAATGCAATGGAGATTCAGTCTTTTGTCAAATAACACTGGGAGATTCATTATTATTTTGAAATATTAACACCTATAATTGGAGTCACACTTTGAATTCCTCATCATAATTATGATTAAAACTCATATAAAGCCTTATATATAAAACCATTTATAGACAATAAAACAGTGTTTGGCGTATTATATTATATAATGGTATGTGTAGGACTAATCTTTTAAAAATCAAGATTCACAGTCCACAGTTTAGACATGTCCAGGTGCATTAAGATTTGAGAGTTTGAACTGACAAAACAGTAAACATTAATACAGGTATGAATTAAAGTATTAAAAAGCATGTTTATATGTTTAAACAAATGTTCAGATCTGTGCAGAGGATTATAGATTACCTAAACAATAGCAGTCAGAATATATGACACCACTACGGATTACTTAGTTTGTGTGCTCTGAAATGTTACCAAATAGCTTTATTGATACAGCATTTCTTGTACTTTTGCCTGTTGGGTCAGATCACAAGTAATTTTTCTTAGCAAAGTGGGTTCCAATTTGCACACTGTACATTCTTGCTGTGAATTATATTTTTGTAGCACATTGACTAATGATTAAAGGGGGAAACAAAGACGCCTCTAGGGACCAAACACACACTCCAGCGCGCCCACAAACAGCCTCATTCATCATGCAGAGAGAATGCTCCTGTTTGCTGAGTTAATACAATGAAGCTAATTGCCCTCCGAGCAGCCCAAACACCCGAGCTCAGCTAAAATCATTTCCCTGAATGGAAACTTGCTCAGCTGATCTCTGTATCCTCCGAACACACAACACACACATGTATATATAGAACATTCACACACACACATTTGCACCTCTCCCTGTCAGCCTGATATTCACTGCACTGTGGATATTATTGCTTTGTATTGATTCAGCATTATTTTCTCTCAGTGGCTGGAGAGAGAAGGGCTAACGCAGCAGCAGTCACACCTCACTGCTTCGTCCTACCTGGGCTGCATTTGCTATGACCCCATTTATACCAATGGTAAACAGTGAATGATACAGGACTGGGCCATATTGACAAAAATATATGTTGGGTATGGGAATGTACAGACACCGATAATCAAATTGTATTTTTTTGCAATCCATAAGAAAATACCTTTATTTGAAATGCAAGTTGAGTTCATTTTTAATACACCATTTTGATAACTTTCCCATTATACACGATATACTCAATCTACATTTCCATATGCTCAAAACTACCTTGTTATTTAAAGTAAACAATATTCTACCTCTATTCTAACATCAATAATCAATACACAAATTAATCAATATTTATTTGTAAAGCAATGTTCATATAAAACAAGAGTTAATAAAAGAAATTATAAAATGTCCTCAATTAACTGACTGAAAATAGATATTTTTTTCTGAGCAAAGTGTGTTCCAGTTTTTGTTGTAAAGCACACACATAAGTTCCACATTAATCGGATATTATTTGTTATTATGTAATTTCTTTGTAGTAATGTCATGGCTCATTGCTATTAGTATTTGGTATAGGACCAGTGATAAAGCATGACTAGAACCAGACGGACAAGCTCATAAAACCATCTTTGGAGAACAGCTTCAAGCCAGGTGTTGAAAGCTGGCTCTATTATTAGAATGCCGGCTAAGAAATAAAAGACTGCATCACTCCAACTTTGAATAATAATTTTCAAGAAGCACCCAAAGCACATTTAGAAATACATGCTGTCAGGTTGCATAGGAAACAATAACTCTAGTTAATGTTTATACATGCATAGCTCAACAATTTTGCAGAAAAGAGACACGCCTTTTTCTGCCTGGTAATAACATACAATCTTTACACAGTCTGAATGTTCCACGGTAGTACTTTACAGGCAGGTGAGAGAATGCAGAGAAGGTCAGGAGCCTGCAGCACTGACCTGCTTAGTGAGCGGCTGGTTAGCGCATGTAGCAGAGATTGTATTTGGCGTTTGTTTAACCTTGGGAAAGTGTTTGTGTGTGTGCGTTACAGCGTAGCAGCTCCCGAAGGAACACATCCATATGCTTGGGTTTAGTAATAACATGCAAGCGATTATGTGGCTACAGAATCCCACTAATTGAATACATTAAACTTTTTTTTTACATTTTATCTTTTTATGGATGTAGTGTAGTGTGCAAAACTGTCAATTTACAGTTAATAACTCAAAATGTAGTTATTTTCGAGTTTTGAATTCCTGTTAAACTGGCTTGTAATGCTGCATGGGTGGGGCTTACTGTATAATTGGTTCCATAGTGGCATGTCTCTGATCAATGAATCTTGGAATAATTACCGTATGTAGTTGCGCGTTGAATTGATTTGGACTCGGGAGGAATACATTTATGTATATAATTATAACTGTATGCTATTACGGAAAGTGCCTTCCCTCATTTCAATACTTTTATATAGTGTAAGACTTCGCCTGCTCTGGATTACCATAACTCTCATACGTATTGCCGCACTGTTACGCATAAAAGCGTGAAATGATAGCTGATGTAGCTGTGAGGGAGTTTGCTCGCTATGGTCCAAATAAACAGTTTCATGTATTTTATTAGGCACAACAGTGAGGCAGATTGAATAACATTGGAGGTCATATCTCACCTTTCGTAGTGCCTGCGCGTACATGTGGCTGCACTGGTGCTGCTGGGGTTTCCGCCTAATTCATCATAGACATGTTTCCACTGACGGCGAACTGTGATCTGAAAAACACAAAAGAAACATAATGACAATAAGTTGAGTTCATTACTGTGCAGGTGTATCAGAAACATTTATTCATTTTCTAATAATAAGTTAGGGCAGTGTAATTATGCAAATATTAATCAAATCAAGATTCAATTGTTTTAAATTGTCAGTGAACAGCTTGAGGCTTTTAAACCGAGAGGTCTACAGCCAGTCTCCAACACTATAAGCATGTGGCTTGGAGCAGAGTTCAGACTTTGGAGGAACAGATTGGGCTATGTTTAGTGTTAAATGGCCCTAATTGTGTGTTAATTAGAAGAAATTGCGGTTTAATTAGAAGGGAAAAAATTTGATTGATCAAAATACAAGCAAAAAAATATAATTAATTATAATGTAATAAACCTGACTAATCTGGACTGCTGTGTACAAATAGGATGTTTCTCAGGACAAGACAGGACAAGACAACATCCGAAGAATAACAAAATGTAGCTTGTTATGTAAAGTTCAGTTTCTCCTTATGTAATGTTCTGTAGGAATGCGACTCAAACGCCTGACGTCATTTTAAAAGTCTTGAGGAGGGACTGACTCAATTTGTTCCACTACTGAATCTTAAACATGTAATTATCAAATATAATAGGTTGTATAATATATCATCAAGTCAGATATTCCTCCAGCAAAACCTTTGAAACAAGAGACTTTTTGTTGTTGCAAATATAGAACTTAAAATGGCTGATTATATGAGCTATATCCTGTTTATAGCCTGGTCTGGTTTTGTGTTTGGATTACATTAAACCAGATTGCTAAAAAAAAAACTGGCATGGCAATCTATTTACATTGACCACATCAAAGTCCAGTGGAAAAGTGGACATTTATAGTGAGTACACCAATATATGATAAGAAGCCAAGCTGAATGTCTCACACTTTCTGACCAATGTGTGTATGTGTATTTAAGAACACACTTCTGGGCATACATGTGCATTTTACGTCATTGTGGACTTGGGAAAATATGAGCGATTTGACCAATTTCCTTGTGACCAGTGCAGAGCGGAGAAACATGTGTTTTCCACTCTGAGGGGGCTTCACAACAACAGAAGCATATTGGCAAAAAGAAATCTTATTTCTTGGGAAAACAAGTTCTGACCTTAAGGACAAAAGGCACAAAAGACAGGGAGGTGGAGAGGAGAAACCAATGAACAACATTTTAGGGGAAAAGAGAGTAGACAAAACACATTACAGGCACAGGGAGGGAGACGGAGAGAGGCGTGGGAGGGTATTTCGACAAAGAGAACGTATCGCCACATATGTGAATACTTACCAACTCATATCCTCCGAGTTTCTGAGCAGCATGAAACATGGTCCAAAGGTTGACTGTGGACACAAGGAAAACAAGACATTCAGGCATTGTGGGAAATTCACTAAACACAAGTTAAATATCATCTGTCTGCTCTGTACAGTATTAACATAAGCCCCAAAAGACAAGTAAAAGTACACAACACACAATATGAAGAAAACAGAGAGTTTTCTATTGTTTTCCTGAACTCATTGCCCTGTTCATAAAGGTTTTACTTTGAATGTGACTCATGGTACTTTATCCATAAGACTGAAGAGTAAAATGAGAGGAGATGTGCTGTGGCAGGATGAAAAGAGCTTATTTTTAATACCCTTTGTGAAGGGCAGCACAGTTGAAAAGATGTAAATGAATATTGAATAGTTGAGCAAACAGACAGTCGTGATAAAATACACTGTGCCTTTTCCTGACACACAGATTTGTTCACCTTCAGAAGCTGCCTGCAGGTATGAATGAACACTATTACAAGCATCAAACGCTTGGCAATATGCTCATACGTCTGTTTGAACTCATGCAAATTCATTTGCATTGATTTCCCCATGCAAACACTCTGTGAAAGCGCATATCAAAATAGTCTTGGATGATATTTCAACTAAACTCCAGACTGTCTTAATGGGTTTGTCCAAAGAACATGTCTAATAAACAATGTGACACTGGTTCATTTGAGTTTCGCATTTAACCAATGACATTTGTATTTGCTTTCTTTTGGTAACATCATTGTTTAACATTTTTATATCAGGCCTATAAATAAGAAAAGGAGGACTCGCCTGGGAAGAAATCCATCAAAATTCAATCTGTGCGTACACAAAGCCTTGCATTTGTCAAAATGACATTTTCCTATCTCCGCTTTTGACAGCATTGATTTTTTCCTTCCCTCCTCTGTGCGACCGTTGTCAATGCACGGGTGGAATAACAAAGGGAGCTGGGTCGTTTTTTCTGTTTGAACTGAGCACTCGGCTTTATTGTGCTTTGTGACTGGAGAAACAGAGCGATGGTCTATTTAACTAGCTTGTTATGCATCGACTGTAATTACCACAATAGAGTGCAGGATTGGGAGGAGAGATACAGGGAATGAGTGAACATGCTTTTTCTTACATGTCTTGTCATTAGCAATTTCTTTTCTTAATTCCCCTCTATTTGGCAGGGGCAATTATCACTGAGATAAGGATGACAAAACAGAAACACAATGCGGCCACACTGACACACCAGCGCCGTGGCAATTAGACAACACGGCTGTGAGAGAGAGACAAATTGGAACTGATGTTCACAATCACATGCTGATGCACAAGCACCAGGGCACACAGCACAGGCAATAATGTCTCACACACACACACACACACAGACACACACAGAGCTCACACACACACACACACACACACACAGCGCATCAAGGGCATTTACACTACACAACACCACCTCAATACTCCAATACTCCATCACATGTCTCTCAACAAGCCCATACATCCACAGGACTTCAATAGCAGCAGCTGTACGGCTAAGTCAATATTAATACAACACAACAGAAACACAAGCACACTCAACTGGCTGCACCCACTGAAAATATACAAGGGGATGATATATATGTAGCATCTGTTGTAGAAATAGATCACTTTTAGAATTATAGGTCAACATTTTAGACCTGATGCCTTTTATTAGCATCATTCTCCCCTTAAACTGGTCCCAGGCATTTTCAGTAGTATCTGTATTTCAGTAGCTCCAATAGTTTTGTACAAATAAGAAAATCAGTAGTGAATGCTGAAGTTCAACATTAGCATTTTAATTTCTTTGTGTGGAATCCTTGAGGAGACATGCTAATTGAGCACAAGGCAAACAACCAAAAAGTAGTTTAATATAACAGAAATACAAATATAGAATCATACTTTACTGCCAAATTTATCATGTATTTCAGCAAGGGGTGTCATTTTGGTTAATGTCCCCGAAATGATCTATTTTAAGGTATGAGTTGCAGAGAAGTGAACCATGTTAGAATTCAAATAGGATTTGGGGGACAGAATCATTTGGACATTTATGACAGCAGAGCGCCTGCTAAATCATTCGACCATCTGTTGTTTTGTTAAGCTCCAGAGAAGTTAATAAAAATATAATTTCTGAAATGCTACTAAAATAACATAATTTCAGTTAACATCACAGAATGGAGAGCTCTTTGATTTTTAATATATTTGTAGCTGGTTTAAAGGGAATCAAATCAAAACACATCTGAGGGCTTTTTGTATTAATTATGTTGTATTTTGCAGTTTCTCTCTCTTTCTTGCATGTGTGAGACGCGCTCGCTGCCAAGGACAAAGTTTAAACAGCATGATTTCACCATTTAATGAGGGCCTTGCTTATGATGTGTCTGTTTTTGAGATTCAAAGCATGTACTGTATGTAAAACAGTTGGCGTGTGGACCTCGACTTTATTCTGAGCTCAAACTGAGAAATGCCAACTAAAAATAAAGCATGTTGGGTACGTAATTCTCCCTCTCCATGCTTCCTCCTTCTCCCTCAACCACAATGACCTATTTAAGCAACAACATGTCGGCAATCAAAGAGACAGGACTGTCAAAATACTGTGGTGAGGTTAGCCCAGCCACCACCACCACAGCCTACCTTTAGTTTGTAGCTCCAGATAAACTCTGCACTACTCTTTAACAAAGACATCTGTCCTCTCAGATTTGTAATTTCAAATGAATAGGGAAAAATGTTGGTAAAATGAGCTGATTTACATCTTTGAATCAAATAAAAGGTAGTACATTTGCAAAGCTCAGCAGAAGGGAAGACCTCTCTTTTGAGGCTTGCATTCAAATCAAACAGCCAAAACAAACTTAGTTTCCTGGTTTCAAAAGCCTGAGAAGTGTATTGTGTGATGTTTTTTGCGCATGCTCCTGCCCACTGCACTGTACACACATAGTACGCACATAGTACACACAAAGTGCAAGCTAAGCATCCGACTGATATCAGAGATCTTTCATCAGGAGCAGACGACCTGTTTCCCAGATGTGGTCCGCTCCTCTGCACGTTTAGAGGACGTTCTTGGCCTTCACAGGAAAGCCCTCTGACAGAATGAGAAGATCCTCTGCTTGTATTAAAGCCACTCACAATGGGATCCGACAGGCAGCCTCCAGAGTCTCTTACACTGTGCAGGTTGAGCTTTGTCTTCACTTACACTAGCATCATACCCCTTTGTTATTGCTTCACATTGGAATAGATGTTTTATTAATCTAAGCATATTTTCTGTTAGAGTTTCTGTTTTCAAGTTCAAGATGTGCCCTTGTCTTCACAGAAAAGGTAACTGTAGGTTATTCAATGATAGACTGTGGTTAAAAATAATAAATCCAATTCAGAAGGTGCTGCATTTTGTTCCAGATTAATTTGCTGTACCTTGTGAAGTATGCAGACAATTCCCTCTGTGACAACATATGAACTAAAAATCATACTTCGAGTGGCATTTACTTCTGCTTTTAATGATTTGTTGGTTTATTTAGAAATTGAAAATGAATATGAAGATAATAATATGATAATATGAAGAAGTGAGTTGAAAAAAGTTGAAAAATGTTGAAGTACATAGATGAGTTTAGTGCGGGACAGTTGTGTACTCACTCTGTTTGAATCCGAGGAAGGGAATCCTCTCGATTGGCGTGTCCCGTTCCTTCATGTACTTGTAGAGCTCCACTAAGAAGGCTTGCTCCTCCGCCCGCCCCTCCTCCGTCAGCTCCTCCTCTCTCCTCTCCTCCTGCTCCACCTTCACCTCCCTCTCCTCTCTCTTTTCCTTCTCCTTGACCCGCTCTTTCTCTTCAGGTACACACTTCTTGCTGAGGTTGTTGGCCTTGTGTTTGGCTACTGGAGGTATTTTGCCGTTGGGTACCACTTTACAGCTTGGCTTGACCTGTGAAAAATTGAGTGAAAAGTCAGACGATGTCATTTAAGATGAAAATTGTGGGATCAAATGTGTTATTTAGAAGAATCCTGACAGTTCAAGAGAAAATGTCCAGGCTTAATCCCAAACACGTATTGTACGGGCCACGGAGGCAGCCTCTCATTGATTGTCAATAGAGCAGCTTCTCTTGTCATCACAGATTAGGCTTGACTCCAGCTTCAGACAGAATTTGTGATATCGATTTAACTGTCCAAGGTCATGGGGATAAGGGCTGAGAAGGCTTTTAGGGCGAATATTGCCTGCCCCCCCCCTTTAAATAATGCATTGGATAGCCACATAATGTCCATCAATAACATAATTTTCCTAAATATTTGTACTGAAGTAAATAAAGAAGAATTAGTCTTAACACTGTAATAAATAACATACTTCTTTAACTCAATTACTGTGTGTTTTAGGGAAATGAGGAAGCAGCATACACAAAGAAAATGTCAGAGAGAAACAAATTATCTAACTTAACCAAGTGTAAAATAGATATTAAATCTGGTAGAGAGAAGCAACATTTTACATTTAAAAGGGGAGTTATGTTTTTTGCCTTTTAAAGAGGATATAAAAATGAAAGTAGACTTCTAATTGAATTTGGTGCTGAGCATCTATAGTCGAATAAAAGTGATTCTGGGCACATAGCACATCTCCCTGTTTAGAGGGCAAAGAGATCATTCTTCATTTTTGTTTGTATGTCTTTTGTATGGCCCCAAAACAAGTTAATGAGTGTCTGCATGAGGACCTTGATTCTCAACGTATCAGTCATAAAATACAAATAGTTTAATATGCAAACCTTCAAGGCGATGTATTTTTACTTAAAATTTCATAAACATGACTTATCTGTGTCCCCATGATGTTCAAATCAAATAGTGCTCTTACAGACAAAAGATGTAAGGCTGATTTATTCTTAATTATAAAAACATTAGAGGGCCAAGATGTTCATGTTATGTTATAATTTGGTGTTTTCATTCTCTAGACAAGCAGAATAAGTGTCCCACTTGTGGCTGCCAGATCCTATGACTAAAACCATTTTGAAAACTTTGACTCTCTGATCTGAATTTATTAGCTGATTTAACCCAGACAATGTTCATTCATGTGCTGTTTCTGTATTCCTATCTGCTGTCCCAAAACAACAACACCTGCAGCCAGTCAATAGTCAGTGCCTGTATGGGTCTCTGGGGTTGTGCTCTTGAGAATGGCCTGTCCATAAACTGTGACTGAGCAGAACTTATATGTTCTCTAGATGCAGGCTGGCACCTGGCTACAGGGTGAGTGTAGTTCCTTTAATAAATTAGCAGGTTGCATACCTTACCTTAAAATTTACTCTCAATTATTAGTTATTAGTTGTGCAAAGCCCACATGAACTTAAAATATAACCTTATATTATAATCTTGGTTTTGAAAATAGTTGTGTCCCACAGTAAAAATATAATGGAAAAAACTATAGAATAATAGATCACTATTGAAATATAAAGTAAATGTAAAATGTTTATGTTGTTAAATATAAAATGTACACCCATCTATTACCCGTCTTTGACATTACCTTTATAGAAGCTTTGTTCTCTGCACTGCAGGGGTCCTGCACTGAGGCCACTGCGGAAACCTGACATGACCCCGATGACCCTTGACCTTGACCCTGAGCCTGGCTCTGGGAGTCTCTTCTCTGGGACACCGACAGCTTCTTTTTTCGAGGTCGTCCTTTCAGGTTAGGGGCTGGAAGAAAGAACATACAAAGATTAAAATGGACATGGTTAACAGAGAGGTATATAGGCCCCCAAACGCTATCAGCTTGGTTTGGCATTAAAACATGAGATGGAAATTTCTAGGCAGTGAATAATGTGTATATGACAGGAACATACACAATCAAAGGAATGGAATTTCACAAGCCTGCTAGCCTGTAGCTAATTATTTTAAACAGGATTAGTGCGACATTGTACTGAATGAGGAGCTGACTGCCAAATTGCTCCAATGTGCTAGTAAACACAGTCCTCAAGTTGCCTCTCAGCTTGAAAACTGCATTTAAATTCAAACAGATGTATTTTTAAGATCTGCGGGGATGGCATCATAACTGTGAAGCACTTAAGACACACTTAATAACGGCTGGTTAACCTACATACATTCAAAATAGGGAATCACAGTTTTTTCTCAGCAAAGATATAACATTATCTCAACAACTGTAGTGGATAGAATGAGACCTATAGATAACCATAGCTCCATTTTTGTTCCCTATAGCAATCCCTCTCAACACTGTTAATTAAAAACACATGAACCTGCCTGATAGGAGCTCTTTGTTTGAAAAGCAGGCAGATATAATTGCTCAGTTCACATTACACACACAATAAAGTATTTAAGCCCCTGCAAGTCCTTTGTACACCCACGTTTATGTCAACCCATGACTGTAATGTTACTTCTTGGCTGAGTGCCTCGATGTAGAAACACAAACAGATCGAGATAAGCTCGGTGGAGAGGTGGAGTGAGGAGGGAAAAAACAACAGATGAAATTTAAAATAATCCAGTCACGTATCTGCAATGTCAATTAAATCACGTTAAAGGTTGTTCTGTGCCAAAGAGGGCTTGGAGATTATATTACATCTATTCCCAACAAGACAATACGACTAGAGCAGCACACAATTAATCACATTCCCATTCAATTACAGCCGTATAAAACAAACATTTCAAATCACACATCCCAATATGGCAATCTGGAATCATGCTGGAAAAATACACACTAAATATTGGTTGTAAAAAAAAAAAATCACTAATAGATTGTTTCCCTATGTTTCACAATCTTATCTAGAATAGCACAAAAGAACAATTAAATTAAACAACAATACAAGCCGCCATATAAGCCAAGCATTAATAAGGCTAAAGTGATAGCGAGTTGAAGTTGTTATTTCCCAACTGCTCTGCCAGGGAGAAACTACTCGGGGAAAATACCAAGGACATTTGTTGTGCATTTGTCATCCCTCTGGCATTAAAAAAAAGACTTCTACACTGTAATCTTTGCTTATAAAAACGAGAGTGTAGGTTTCAGTTTTCTCCAATCATCGGTTATTGCACCGCTCTTAATCCGCCATTTTCTAATTAAGTCAAAGGCTTACAGAAAACCTCATTTATTTATATGCTGGTGTTTATTTTGTAAGCTGAGCACAGCGCCGATTTACTGGAAAGAAACATATTGAAGCAGTTATGGACTAAGTGAATTTGTAGCAAGCGCCTCATACCGCGTGCTATTACATAAAGGGAAATCAATAGTCATAAAGGACAGACTACATCAGGGCTGCCTGCGGTTAGAGTTCCACAATAGAGCAATTGCAGTTTTATATTCAGTACTCAAGTAAAAACAACTACTTACTATACTAACTATAATTATACAGCTGAATCATGGTAATATACAGCATTGTAAAACCAGAGTGTCTACTATTACTATTAGAAGAACCTCAACTACATACAATTAAATTAATCAATATGCTGATTTTATTGTTTTATTTGTATTTCATCTTTAATATTCTTTTAAACTACATGTAATATTTGCATTGACAATAACATTCACAATGTTACGTTTAAAGTTTACTCTTTTGGGAGGGATGGTAATATGAACTAATATTGACCAGTGCAGTTATCATTGTCACTCTATTCACTGCTAGTGCTCACCAACACACTTGCTGAACATGATCAACATTTACTCTTGCACAGAGCAAAACACGTGCAAATATGTGACAACAAAAATAATACTGATGGCTCCATTGTTCACAGACACTTAATAATCCCTTTATACATGTGGCCTATTTTAAAAATAAACAGTGCCGCAGTTGGTCCCACCCTCCCAGAGAGAGTAGTTCTGTTTTTAGTCCCATACAACAAACCCCCTGACACTCTACACTCTGTTACATAACCTGGCTGTTTACATTTTTCATCAGGTCAAATAGTGCTGCGTAAGAAAATACACAGACACAAGCGCGAATGAGTCTGAATGAGTCTGAATTCACTCATGTAGTAATTATCTGCAAAGGTTAAGTGGGCCGTTTAGTATTGGTGGAAATCCATTCACAAAGGTCAAATGCAAGTTTGTAGGAGTTGAATTCTTTTGTCTTTCTTGATCTCCGTGCAAAGATGCTACATAAAAGCAGAGTCATCATCTTCAGGAAAACACAAAGGAAATCAAAGATGGCCGTTCTGCTCTGTGATTGATCTGTACAATGGAAACATGGACATTTATAGTCTACAGAGAGCACATGGCAGCGTAATGATGTGACCGCACCAGGGGAGAAGGTTGGTGTATTTTTAACTTCCTGTGGGCATTAAGTGTTTTTGTCAAGGAGACTGTTTTAAACACATAATACTTCCCCGGGCAGGCCAAAATTAGCACAGGAGTCATCATGGGTTAAAATGGCTTTCTGACCTACACTTCCTTCTTGTTTCACACAGAGCTGTCACACACTGGTTTTATGATTTAGGGCAAATGTACTAAGCTGTGAACTGGTATAACCTTTTCATTTAAAGGACAAAAGAGTTCCTAGATGTATCATGAAATCATAAGAAAATAATAACTGATCTAAAAACATTCACAGAGCTACCTTCATAAGTTTGGATGACTAATCAAATTGCAAAACCAATTTGGGAAGAAAAAAAACACAGAGGCTGCAGTTACTTAGAGAATTAAATGTTCTCTCCGAACAAGTAAATATTTTCTCTCAATGTGGTCTTAAGGATTAAGTATAAAAACTGTGAATCATATTGGCTAACTGAAGTAGATTCTTCAAGTAGTTAAGCAGTGCATATTTCAGTCTTCTCTAAATGATCTTTCAAAAATATTCACAATGGGGCTGCAAGTTTTAAATTAAATTAAATTAAATTATATAATATTTTTTCAACAATTATTCAGCCATACCTCACACTGTTTATAAATGATTATGAAAAATAATGGCAAATGTGAAATATTATAAGATATTTATTTGACAAAATTCACATTGCCCAAGAGTAAAATCTAAATCCACATACTAATTAATACTATCAAAACAGGATATGCATTTGAACAAGTATTGATACTTAAAAGAATATTACATTAATAGGACAAAATTTGACCTTTGCTGAATAGTTTTAGTATTGCACGATGTTAATCAAAACTAGCACAAGACAACATAGCAATATTGAAAACTATGAATCTTTTGAGTTGAAAATATCATTGTATGCTTTTATCAAAATTCATATAGAGACTTTTCACTTAGTAACAAAATCAAGCTTAAAATTTTTGTATCTTGACAACACTAACATTTTGGATTCAACTGAGAGAGACAGACTGCAGTGTAAAGGTAAAGGACAAGCTAGGTGACCAGGCAGAGGTGGATGGACTCTTCCAGGTTAGGGGGGCTCTCTTTGGTGGGGGTGTGGGGTGGGGATGTGGGGGGTGCATCCATCAGGCCTTGTCACCAAACGCCCCCCTGAGCCATGGAAGTCACAACCACTCCAGTGCCCATGTACCCAGCCTGACAACATGATCTGCCCCTCCTCCCCTATAACGGCCTCAAACCAAACAGATTTGTCTAATAATCCAGACCCCTCATATTCAATTAAACACAGCTCCTACACCTCAGCAACATTAGCGCTTGCTACATGTCAGTGATTATATAAAAGTCATTATAGAAGCGCGAGTCAACAGCGGAGAGCCAGGGGGAGCTGCAGTGAAATGGACTGATTGATTGAGAGGAGCAGAGACAGTAGGGCCCATTGCTGTGATGGATGCATCATGAGATAACACTACACACATCGACCCACAGCATATTCACTGCCGACTTTTGTTCACTTAACAAATACAGATAATGCAATCTTTCTGCAGACGGAAATTAAAATAGATTGATAAATTATCACTTTGATGCAGTGTGATCTTTCACTTTTGACAGCCATTTTGTCATTATCCAACTCTGGGTGAATTATCTTAACAGTCAAAGGAAATATTGCACACTTTGTTACCACCTACACTCAGTATCAGTTATTCAGTATCATTACAGAAAATAATGTGTCAGAAGATTTGTTTGTACCAAATCGAAGCTGAATTTATTGTCATGTTGTCATAACTACTTGTCTGATTTCCAGAGAAGTATTTTTGTGAGAAAAACGTTCCCTGAATAAGCTGTGCTTCTTGAGGAATGTATTATTTGTATTTTGACTTATTCGGTGTTGTGCTGAACCTTTGATGAACACAGTGGAGATCACGCTAGTTTAAATGATTGCAGAAGCAGTGAAATAAAATGTTGAAATGATGAATAAAGACATGCGGCTAAACTCAGTTCAGAGTGCTGTCATTCACTGTTGAATTCAATGTGTTTCATTCCTGTCTTCAACTAATTAATTTAGACTTTTTTATGGATAAGAGCACTGTTTTGACTAAGCAGAGATGAAATATGAATAGAAATCCCCCAGTCAAACTCAGGCTGAGCCACAAAGTCTACATTTTTCAAGCTCCTTCCTCATAATAAAACCTCCCACTTGTTTAAAGTTAAGTTTGAGATTTTTGTAGAATGAGGTCCAAGTTTAGATGGAGAGGTGAGGCCGGGGGAGGAGTCCTGACAGGAACAGCCAATAAGAAATGTTGAACATGTTTTGACATATTTTGTCCCTTCACTTGGTTGTTGCAAATTCACTAAAGATCTAACACCCACTCAACAATTATCAGCATGTCTGCTTCTAAAGGTAACAGTGGTGTTGCAAAACAT